GAGGACTTGGAGTGGGCGACGGGCCCGGGGAAGGTGAAGGGGTCGTGGTTGGAGGGCTCGTAGGCACCTCAGCATGTGGCCCTTGACATTTCTCTCAAGCGAGCATAAGAAAACTCAAGAAAAATCAAGAGTGCTAATCACAGCAAGATGCAGGGTAGCTGCCCGACAGCTGACCCTTCATGACAATGTAGCCATATTTCACCCCCTGAGTCAAATACGAGAAGGGGTGAAATGCCCGGTAGGCAGCGGTCGAATCTCTGCCGCACATGGATAGGATGTAAGCTTTACCGCCAGGATGAAAATGTGCATACGCGGTGATGTCCATGACAACTTTCCTTGGCTCCAGCGCACAATAGCTGGTTTCCTATCCAAATGACTCAATGGGGTGACTAAACCAAGCATATCAGATGGGCATGATATTTGATACTAGCAGGTGTTGCCTCCATGTCTGGCGTGTCTAAGATGCATTTCACACAAATCCAGTCACTGCACTAGCTTAGAAGTGCATGTGCTCAACTCTGAGTCGATGCACTCGACTTGATGTACCCTATTGCTTGCAAATGCTAAAAAACCTGATCTCGGCCTCCCTGCTTCCACATTGCCTGACAATTGCACGAGCATATCATCAACTGGATGAAGCAACAACTGGTCCATCACAACCCTTTCACAACTAGTGAGCGCGTGATTTGCGGTCCGAATCATCGGCCAAGCGGCGTGCTTCCAGACTCCATACTCGTCCAGCAGTCATCAGCTGAAACATGATTGGCGACCTCACTGGCCGCAACTGCTGTGGATGGAGCAGTTGGCAGGCTGCCACCTGCCGCGCATGAATTCCTGATGCCCTCATCATCATCGTCGTCCTGGTCATAGACCCAAAACAAATGGGCGATTTTGCAACCACTATCATAGAGCTTCATTCCACAAAATGTCGCAAAACACCCAATTCGGAAGGCTGACATATCCGCACAAACCACTCATTCCACTTTCAACTAGCTTAACAAGAAGTAACGAAGCAGGGCCACATCCTTGCTGAATCCGAGAACCACAACACAAACCAGAATGCCAATGCAAGCACCAATATACACTAGCCCACACGGTCCAAGGTTCTTTGGAACTATGCGCTGTAAAGCAAACACATAGTCATTGAACATCCACTTGAACGATTGGCAGATGTGGCAAACATGGTTTAAAGGCTCCGCGTTCGAAGATTCTTCATCTCTGGTTTCAGACCTTCGTCTATACTACTTACTACTATCATGCTCGTCCACACACATGGCAACAATGCCCACTGAGTATTTGAGCTTCACCAGCCTATCAAAGACATACACACCAAACAATGCATGGTCTCGTGAATCTCTTCAAATTATATTTGATCTCATGAATTCATCATTTTTTAGGCCCATTGTTTTGACAGCCATGCTGCAGGGCCATGCTTATTCCCTAAAATGGACCAACAGAGGCAACCCCCAACTAATGGATTTCCATTGACTGGACTTAGGAGCACCAAAAAACGAAGTCCTCATCATCCCAATCATCATCGTCAAGGCGTCGGCCGCCGATAGCACTGGCGCTGGTGCGGCAGATCTCGGTGACGTCTCCGTCTTGAATAGACTCCTGGCACTTCACGCATTCCGTCGCCCACCCCCCCCCCCCGCACCAATCACAGGTGGTTGCTGCAAATTCGTCTGCTCTCAGAACAGGCGGATCAAACAAACAAAATAATCAAACATGAGCTGCAAACGGTTTCCTCCAAACATGCGGATCAAACAACTGGTTGCGTTAAGCAAGACTCGATGGGCGGATCTGAAGACACATTCATGAACACGTCAATAAAGGCCTCGACCGGGAAAACAAGCACCATAGCCAACCGTTCCATGCGCGCAAGTGCAAGGAGTTCTTTGCGTTTTTTTAACACAACAAGCGTTGAGGCAAATGTGGCGCACAATCAGCAGCAACAACCCGTACACCGTGGCTCTATGCTGGCCACTTGACACCGGACAACCATTTCTTCAGGGGGAACAGAATCGCGGCTTCTTGGGTTTTATCTTCGTTCCAATCATGGAACCTCCCCAAAAGGAAAATCTTCCAAAATTCGCCCTGTTAGCTTTCATCCTTGGGATGTGCGAATAGCGTCCTGCAGGTCTTCCAAGCCATGGACGCACCAAAATCCAATGGTGCCGTCCAGGCCGCACATCTGCGCGACGACCCGTCGGCCACCTGCCGACAGAATCCAACCAATCAGTTGGGAATGAAGCCCGACTGATGCAGGACTGTTGTCCATCCGGGGAACTCATTCTGGGCGTTTTCGGCTGATTCTGCAACAACCGCGATTATACTTCGTGTTATATACTTCGTTTGACTCGACACAGCAACACCAATGAGTACTTGACTTGGATGTACCCAAAAGAAACCAACACGTCAAAACAAAGGATGGATAGGCTTTGAATATTGTCCAAACCCTCTATTTGGCACCCAGCTTGGGATTAAAACATGACATATGCATTCACTGCACTGCCCCTAGCAGGTGGCATATTGTGATTGTTTCATGCATCTTGTTGCCGTGAGTACTGCCGCTTGACGAGGAGATTAATGGCATGAGAGGAACGATAATCAAACGCAGCCCATCAGCCAATCACGAGTGCCGAAAGTGATTGCCATCCGACGGATGAGGTTTGAAATCTCTTTTGCAGAAACTCCGATCTCAGCCTATAGGGTAGAACCTAACATGTTAGGCAAATTGTCATTCACAAGCCGGAAATTGGGAACAAGTCGAGGAGGGACCTTCATGGTTTATCTCATCTTACCCCCCAAGCTCGTTTGAATGTCAGTAAACTGGGACACGTTCCTGAGCCCGCCTTCGTGGTTTCGAATAAGCCGAGTCACGTCGTACACCACCTTCTGGCGGTTTACGACCTGACTTTCCGCGAATCAGACACACAACGTTTACGACCTGACTTTCCACGAATCAGACACACAACATCATAATTCCAGAGGAATAATCTCCCGTTTTCGCCTTGTCCTGTTTGCCAGAACTTTGACAACACGATTCGATCTTGCCAAAGACTGAGAGCAACGGTTCAACCTGCAAATCTTTTGGATTTGGAATGTTTGCCAACATGACAAGCTCACTCTGATACATCACACTCTGACTCTGATTCTGATCCGCCCATCTCCCGGCTTGCTTGATCTGGCCTGTAAAACGTGCTGAATGTTGAATACCAATGGTGCAACCATGCACTTCCTGCTCGAACATGCCAATGTATACTGCATAACCATTCGAGCTTGTGCACTGTGCTTGCCTCGGGCAAACTTGTTGGATTCGAATCTCTCAACACTTTCTCCCAAAGGGAGGGCCGTAGCCTTGGACGCTCGGGCCCGAAAAACCACACAAGGGCGATTGCCAGGTGGCGATGACGGTCCAGCAACTGGAAGTCGTCGCGTGGCTGCTGAGCAAGCCAGGGATCTGCGCCCAGGTGCAGCCGTTGCCTCCCGAACCGGATCCGTGGAACATGTCCGACTTGGTTTCAAACCCGAGTCGCTGAACATAGCTATGACACTGAAACTGCTCACCTGAATGCGTCCTTTATGTTACCGCTTTGTGCCCCGTGACTATTCCCATTTGCAAATGTTCATAACCATAGGTGGCCTTTTGGAAAAGTAGATGGCCCTGCTAAATGGAATAAACTCCATCTAAACCAGTGCCATTTATTTTTAGCCAAACTATCCTAAAAAGGACACCTATGTTCACAACACGGTCCGCAAAGCTGGCATTGCCGTGCCTACAACTTTGGCCGGCAACAGGGCCAGCAACAGCAGCAGCGCCATGGCCATGGGGTTCAGAGCTCGGGGCTGCCTTACCGACAGCTGTCCAAACTACTAGAACCCTTTTTTCGGTCCAAACGCGCTGACGGAGCAAGCTTGAAGGCATGCAACAAATGGCATTTTCTGTGTGTGCGTGTTAAAATAGGAAATCCCGCAATGGCTTGCCGCTTTGGCCTCCATTTGGCTCCCCCAAGAGGGGACATGTCACCCCGAGCAATCAAATGGTTTCATGGCACCGACACCAACAATGCACAAATGAAATGTCGGCGATGGCTGCCTGCAGGTCCAACAGTTGGGGGTCATCCACTCAAAGAATAACGAGCCATGATCAAGGAGAGCTGCTTGGGTACCAAATATCAGTTTCTACAATTGAGTTCGTCATTCCATTTGCTGCCGCACTGAGCTCTCGACGCCAATCGTGTGTATCCTTCACTGTCGTTGCAGGTTTTGCCCGCCTTGTCGATATACAACATCTCCCACTTTGAGGTCTGAGCGAATATTGAGCCTGAGAACAGTGGCCTACTCTGTCAGAGCCCATTTGATATCGGCAGGGAAACGCTCCAACAAAAAAAACCATCGCTGCGGTAACTCACGAAGTCAATGAAACATGTGCCCAAATTGCTCAGGGGATGTCCAGACAAACCATGTCCACCCCACAAATTGCATTCTTGACTAAAACGATTCATGCTTTGGGGGTTCTATTCTGGCAATACATGCCAAGGTGTACATTCAAAACCCTCACCACACAAAATACTGTCATCTGACAGGCAATGCATTTCTCCGGATTTGTGGTTCTGGGGCCCAAGCGGCGGCCATTGACTTTGCTGGACGTGCTGCATCTGCTGCATTTGCGGTGGCACCTGCTGCATCGGCTGCACATGCTGCATCGGCTGCGCCTGTTGCATCGGTTGCTGCTGCATTGGCTGTTGCATCGGCTGCACCTGCAAATAAATTTCGAGTTGTTGGCCGTACTTTCGTGGAAATTGGGTGAGCATGCGACATGCAAACTTCAACAACCGTTGTTCCGCCTCGGTTTCAACAAAATTGAAAAACGGTTTAGGCCACATGTTCAGCACATGATCCTGGACAAACAAGTCTCCTTCTGTACAACCAAGTCTTGTTCATGACAGCACCTTCTGGCCGATTGTATGTGGACGGGCCGGGTTACCATATCTTACACGCACAACACAAATAAACTGTACGTTGCCGATTTGACCTGATCTCGCCCACACGGGCCGCACATCCAGGAAATTGCAAAACACAAAACAAAAACTAAATCCAAAAAACTCAATCTGGAAAACTCCTAACCTGGGCAGACTCAAGAACAACTAAGAAACAACTCAGAACAAACTCAGCCTTGAACTCGATCCCCCCCGCTCGAGTTTGAGGCTGAGTCGAGAGCTGAGTTTTTTCTGCGTTGTTTTTGAGTTATGTTTGAGTTTTGTTTGATTTTTGTGAGTGTTTTTTGGAGTTTTGGCTGAGGGGGCTGGTTGCCAGTGGAGGAAATCTGCAGTTTCCCCCCATGAAAACACAAAAAACAACTCAATAGAAACGCAGAAAAAACTCAGCTCCCGACTCAGCCTCAAACTCAAGTGGGGGGATCGAGTTCAAGGCTGAGTTTTTCTGAGTTGAAAGCTGAGTTATTTTTCCTTTTTTTCAAGTCGTTCCTTGTATTTTTCCGTGTTTTCGTTGTGTTTTTTCGAATATGTGTTTTCAGTTGAGTTTTTTGGCTGAGTTGCTTCTGAGTTTTGATTTTGTTGTTGTTCCGCTGAAACCTCTCCTGTCTGAGCCCGTCTGGTCATAAGTCTAGGGCCTCCAATTATCCTCACTCGCTTTTGGCAGATTTGCCGTCAAAGGCGCCAATGATGTGGATAATTACCTAACAATCAGCAACCCTGACCACCAGTGGCCATAGAAATAACCCAGGTGGCATCTCCAACAGCCCTGGAGCCCCCTGGAACCCTACGGAACCCTCCCCGAAAGTTGCCCCAAATCACCCCATATTTTTTTTGGTCATATTCGGCCAAAGACCCCATAGCTTTCATCTGTTGGGGAAATATGTTCTTTGATTTGACTTTAAATGGACACAATTAGAAAAAACAATCCGCTAGAGTTCTCGTAGACACAGCTCCACGACCATCACTTTTGGCAGTGCAGCCTCCGGCTGGGCTTGGCCCAGTTGAGGCTGCACATGTTGCAAAGGTTGGGGCACAATCGAGGAGGCCTGGCTCGATGAGACTCCCAACACAGCATGACCGTTCCCAAATAATGTGTTATATCAGCATGTGCCACCTGACCAGCATACCAATTGCCTCCTCCGAAAAATGAACGATGCAAATGGAACCTGCGAATTCCACGTAGAATGCAACATCAACACCTTCTTTAATTCCAGAAGAATAATCGAACAATTCAATACATAGGTACAGAACTCTTTGTAAAACGATTTATGTGTTCCCTGCATGTGGCATGATTGCAAAACCTGGATCCCCGGCAACAACAATGAAACCCTGTTTGAAATATCACGTTAATAGAACCACTTGCAGCAAATGTTGCAGATGGGCCTCCCCGGATTGTTCCTTGGGCACGTAGTACAACGCAGTGCGCCTGGCGAGTGGTTTGACAGCAATGCCAAATCCACAATCGAGCGTGGGGGTCGAATGGTTTTCGGTCAAAGTTCGCGAAGTGGATCGGACTTCAATATCCATGCTTGCCGAGGCACCCTGATGGGGCACGCAGCATGACCGGCACCAAATTTGCAATGGCATTTGCCGGCATGCCGTGTGCCGGCACGCCGTTTGCCGGCATGGCATTGGCCGGCATGGCGCTTGCCATGGCGTCACTCACGTCAGTTGCAGCCATGGACATACGGATGGCTCGGCATGCTGGATGTTGTGAGCACTTGAAAACTCATGGATTGGAGTGACCATTTGCGGTTGTGGTGTAGGGGTGCGCCAGGAATGGCATACTTGGGGCACGCATGTTTTTCCAGTAAAATTTGATCTGCCATGTCGTTTGGCTAACGGACTGGGAGCCGGAAAATTGTCCCATTGACAGCCATAAATTCGGTGTTTCAACTCAAGATTCACATGGTGTCCTGGATAGTGGGCAACGTGTAAGCACCATTCTTGGAGAAAATAAATAAAAACAAACAAGTTTTGAGTCTTTTCACGAAACATGTACTATACAAACACACAAAATCAGAACCGTTTTAGTCCAGCACCCTCACACTTTCGCAACTCACAAAGCCAACGATGGCCAGCGAAATTGAGGCCAGCACTGACCTTGCGAGTGCAACAGCGGCCATCTAAACCTGCCAGCGTGCATTTTCACCAGGCCCATTCTGCGGCGGTGCAATGAACAGCCATTCCAAAGTGACGCAACATCGCCAAGTTCCTGGCCATTGTGCCATCAACTGGCGGGCCTGAACATTGCCAATGTATTGCCAACTGCATGTTCCAAATTGACGCATTCCGATTTGTTGCGCCGCCCTGCCCCCCCCAAAGGCCAACATGATGGAAAACATCAAAACCTCCGAACGTCGTATGTTTTGTGGAATCGGCAAAGTAACGCAATGGGTCCCACGTAAAATCCCGCAAGTGGCCGGCGCCCGCCCAAGCTAAGGCCATGTCGGCCGGCGTGTTTCTCACGACCATGAAATGGTCGGAAATGTTGATTTTGCTGTGCCTGAGCAGTGCGGTGCCCCTCGAACGCTGTGCATCATTCCGCATGCACCTTGCCTGCTAAGGTCGTGTTCTCGCACAGGTTGGCCTCTCGCGAAAGCTCCAAATAGCCCTCGACATTGTCTCAATATGTTGCGCTCAACTTGGTGTGTTTTGGACATCACATTCGCGCAAGCCGAGGATGCTTCAGACATGTCTGCCATGGCTGGGAATGACAACTGCAGCCCGGCGTGACAAGGCGGAGGCGAAGAAAAAGAGCCGGCCAGCAGAAGCCTCGCCTCAGGCCCGAAAACACGCAAAGTGGAAACGGGCGCCCACACAGGTAGAAAAAGTGCAGTGCGCATGTTTTCTGTCAATTCAAGGCAGTCACATCCACACAAAACAGTTGATGGCAATCATATTTCTGCCAATGCTTGAGATGGTTGTCTTTGCCGGCTGTCTTTGTCGGCTGTCTTTGCCGTCTGTGAAACGGGATGCAAACAATGCAAACAAGCAGGTCGCCTCTGTGGGTGTTGTTGAGGGTACCCTCTGGTTTAAAGGGCAACCAAATAAACAACTAGGGAAACCACACATTTTGGAGTCTCCCTATTTTGACACACACACACACACCGCTCAATGGCTGACAGTACCATGGGACGCATTCTGCTTGGACTGCCCACCTGTCAAATCCTGCGCTGCGGGTGATCCCCGCGAAAGCCCTCCGCACGCAGCCGACACATGCAGGGACCTGAGGTGACACAAGGTCCCAGGAAGGACTTGCGCTGTGTGGACCTTGCCCATTGCCCGGCACCATCCTTGGGCCCCTGCCCTAGCAACCGCCTCTTCATGTTTTGCAACATCAGAACGGTGAACAGTTCTTTCGAACCACGTGACAAATGGCTCTAAGTAGATCTCGAGAATCAAGTGATAGCTTCCCTGAAAGGGGCAATCACGTTCTGCCCGAGCAGTGGCAAGCCCGTGGAAACTAAGGCGAAGTCCTAGAGGCGTCGCAGCTCAGTGGCCTGAGGCTGGCCCCGGTAGTTGGTGTACACACTGAAGCTCACCATGTCCTTAGGGATTTGAAGAGGGCGGAAAACGTCGGATTCGGAAGGTTTCCGTTCACCTGACTTGGAGGGTGCCTGCGGGTTTTCGAGGGAATGAGGGATGTAATGAACAACGGGGAACCATGACAAAACACTTGGATGTTCAAATAGTACTTCGACAAAAAGTACGCAGGAGGCCAACTATTGCAAATGCAGGCAACAGTGTCGCCACGCTTGAAGTGTCTCTTCTGGTTCAGGTGCAGGAAAACGTCCAGATCGTTAAATCTTTTCTTCAGCTCCTCATTCCTCAGCTTCGGATTGAACTTTCTCGCGGCATAAGGGTATAGACCGCAGATTCCATCGCATCCCGACCCTCCCACCCATTCGCTAGTTTGTTCATCTAACCCCCCAACCTCGGGAAGCATAATGTCACCACTGATCGAGCACCCGCCCGCCAAATGCATGCACGGAAGCTTCTCTTCCAGCAAGTTTGTTCGCTGGGTGCCTTAAAGTGATTGCCTTTTGGGAGTTCAAACTGCGATTACTTACTTCTGGGTGTGGGAAACCCTTTCAACCACCATTTGGAGAGACATGTTGCGGATGGATCTAGCGGTACCAAGGGGAAACTATACAATGGACGGACAGTGACCTGCACCAGGGCTTCCTTCCATCCCAACTGGTGCCGATGTGCGTGAACGTATCAATTTGGGTGTGTCTCAAAATCTCTCAAAATGGGGCAACCCACAAGATCTTCTTTTTGCCTGTGGCTTGCCTTGTCAACCCAACACAACATCCATGGCTCGAGATGAAGCCATAGCCCTTATCCTCGAACCACATCTTGATGCGCCCTTCCCAGCGCCGGTCCGTGATCCCAGGGATGGGCTCCACATCCGGCGGCCGGTAGTTGGGGTGGTTGATGTTGGAGGATGGCCCCGGAGGGATCTCGGATGTCATCCGGCGGAACAGAAAACCGATGTCAAGCGCATCCCAAAAACATGTGACTGGAACCTGCAACAGCATCCTCGGGTTTTTGTGCCCTCAGTCTTTATAGTTGGAAAATGGGGCGGTGAAGGTTCCCATGCTTCTATGCTTTGCCAACATTGGCCGTTGAATGAACTAGTTTCTCTGACACGTCTTTTCCCGCTGGCCGCTGGACAATATGCCGGATTGGGCAGTGTGTCTTACAATTCTTCATCATGGCCCCGATTTGGCGTCCTGGAGGGTCGGCTCGATAGCTTTAGGCTCTGTTTGGGATTGGTACTTGTTAGTTTAGGGTTTGGGGGGCGGTGTTGGTTTAGGGTGGATGTCGGCTTCCTTGAGAGTTCGTGTAGACTGGCATTGGGGCCGTTCAGGGTGGGATTAGTGTGGGGTTAGGCATTAGGGCGGGTGTTGGGTTTGTTTCAGGGAGTTCAAGTTTCGGATATTCTTTAGGTTGGTCAAGGAAGTGATTTGGACATGGCCGGGTGGAAATCCAAACATAAAAAGCCACAGCCATCCTCGCTCAGGTGCAAGCCAAAGCAATGGCCTCAAACAATAGCCTGGAGCAGCGGGACAATGAGCGGTTCGATGTTCAAGTGTCTACCCAAAAGTGAAGGCTCGACTCTAAAACATTCTAAAACTATGGTGTTTGGGTTTTGATCATGGGTTCCCATTAGCTTAGCTCAAAGCATCCCAAAAGTTTGTTTGCTCCATCATGGAGAAATTGCCAAGGTTCCTGCTGATTCCGGATACAAACCCCTGATGGTGCCTGTGGCAAACATACTTTTTCCAGGAGTTAGGACTTGAAGAGGCCCGTTCGCCCAGCTGTTTGCGGCCGAGGAACGTCATCCTCCTCTGGCTTCCCCGCATCGGGAATGCCAGGTCCGGCTACCATGCCATCAGGGCTGGGCATCATCTGACCCATCATTGCCCCCATCATCATCATCTGATTGAACATGCCCATCTGCATCATGTACTGCTGCTGCATCATGTCCATGCCATTGCTGCAGCCACCACAGCCGCCGCAACCGCGACAGCCGATACAGCCGCCGCATCCGCCGCAGCCACATCCGTCACAACTGCCGCATCCGCCACAACTGCCGCATCCGCCACAGCTGCCGCACGCGCCACAGCTGCCGCAGGCGCCACAGCCGCATCCGCCACAGCTACAGCTGCCACAGCCACCAAAGTTGCCGCAGCCTCTGCAGGCGCAGCCGTTGCCGTTGCAAGGCCCGCTGGTCGGCGCTGCGGACGTTGCCGAGGCCGGCAAATCTGGCGCCACAGATTCCGCCTCTGAGCGGGGCCGCTTTCGGGGCGGAAGGCCCTGGTCGACCATGGCGGGCGCCAGCACCCCTCAGGCGCGGCGCTAAGTCATTGGCAAAGTATGGCGAAGTGTTGCTGTCAGGTGATGCTCAACTCCAAGAGCCAGCATAAGTGAGGCTGCCAAAGCACTTTAGAAAGTGTGTCTTGCACATCAACCGTTTTCAGAGCCTGGCAAGGTCGCAGCGTAAGCACGATGGCAGCGGAGCAAACGTTGAAGCGCCATGTCTCAGCTGTCACGAGCATGGGCGACTCGGCTTCTTGCCGAAAATCATGCGAGTTCGCCAGTTCGCAAGCGAATGCCTTTTAAGCTCTATGCGTCGGCCAAGGCTGGTGCATCTCTCAAGAGATCAATCACAGGAAAATTGAGATCTCCGGGAAACATCTGAAAGCCTATGTATCTAGGCAAAGTCCTTGGAAAACCGCTCCGCCTTTGGATCGTGAGCACACTCTCCACGGATGCTTTTGGTGGATCAGGGTCTTTGGGCTTGCTGATGAAGCGCTTTAGCCCCTCCTCCAAAGGGACGGAGGCGATGATTGCTTTCATCTTTCCATCTCGGTCATCCTTGACGTCAACATGCACTACTGCACCGGCTTCGGATGTGAACTTGCTGATGTCAGGGATGCTTAAAGCCTTGCCCGCAAGGTCACAAATCGCGAAGCCCTCCGCTGAGGAGCTCTGAAGGTTTGCGGCCAGGTTGGCCAAGTATGCCTTCCTTAGATGGGGCAATGGTGCAAGCAACTGGCCAGGTTGCACATGAGCCTCACCTGCTCAAATGGCACTCCATGTCGTGTCGGCTTACAAGTCTTACTCTGACATGTGCTTGCCATGCGGGACTGGAGCCTCAGAGAGGCCTTAGGCAGGCAACTGATCCAGCACTGCGTAGCGGATCTGCGCTTTTGGCGGAGTTGTGCCCTCCTGCAAGTGGCGCCACTTGCAGGTTGCCAGCTGCTGAAAGGAGCCGTTCCTCGGAAAACAGCTGTGCCAATGGCTCGAAGGGCACTTCTAACTTGAGAAACAAGAACATTAACACACGACTAAACCCAGAGAAGCACCCTCTGGTGTCGCGGGTGCAGCTTGCAGCCAAAGGTCACCTGCAGCTGCAGCACTGAAGTGGGAGATGCAGCTCGCAGCCAGGCTGCCAAAATGTCTGGCAGCAAGTGCTGCAGCAGTTGCCGCACCTGGAAGACTGGTTGTTCAAATTGCGCGGATCACGACTTCCCCATTTTCTGTCATCCGTGGTGGCAGAACAAGGAAAACCACTACTCACTGACTCAAGGATCTTGCTGATTTGCCGCTTGGAGATACGCTGCCTTGATAAGGCATTTTGCTTTGAACCCAGCCGCTTCATGGAAAGCCGCGGCGACAAGGCATGCCAAAAGGACAAATCATATCATTGGCTCGCTGCAGTGAGGCATAGCCTTCAGGCTTCCAAATAAATGAACCAGTCAATCCCACCATGAGGACAAAATCCACAAGGGATGGACGAAACCCTGTGAATACTGGCTGATAAGCAACCTGATGGTGCAGGATTTTGTCCATTCACTGTACGACAGCCACGTGGAAAAGCTGAGCTGCTGAGTGCCGAACCGACACGGCGACGGACTCTTTACTTTACTTCTTTTCGGACGCGTGGAACAAACAGGAGCCGGCGACGTAGAACGGCTGGACATGGGGAACGTGTCCGTTACGCGCATGCGCGGCGCACTGCAGCACGCCCGCACGCGGGGCGCGCGGCTGCCGCGGTGTGGAGCACGGACATACGCGCGCTTGTCCGTATGCTCGGGAAAGGCTGGTTTACGCACGGCGAGGAGAACTCTGGCGCACGGTGTTTTGAAGTCAGGAAGTGCACATGTAAATCCATGAGCATCAGCTCAGCTCCTGAAGCTGGGCGCCATGAACCAAAGTTTTAGTCAGGTTGAGTTCAGATTTGTGGAGTTTGAGCGCAAAAACCATGTCCCAAAGCAGTTTTGTTTAGTGAGAACGGTGTGACCCATGGTATTGGATTGTTGTTGCAGGATGGGGGATCACTCATTAGAAGTGTTTGTTTGGCGTGTTTGCTGGTGTCATTTCAGCTGGTCGTGGGACAGGAGCACCGAGGCGGGCTCACCTACAGGGAAGATGATATGTCACCAAATGTGTTGCTGTAGTTTGGCATGTGCCCCATGTGAAGTATGTGAGATTTTTCAAAGCACGTTGCCAAGTTACTCGGCTCACGAGGGCAAATGTTGAGGCGGAATTTCTTCGTGAAGATGCACGGCGGCAGCAGAGGCACTACATTTTCGCAGTTTTTGGCTTCGTTGCCCTCTACAAGATATCAACCATGCTGGCGTCGGTAATGACATGGCAGATGTGGCTGCTCCACCATGGTGTGGCAGCGCTGATGTTGCTCATCTCGCGCATTGCAGCGAGTCAACCTGCAGCTATGTGGGTGGATTTGTTTTTACAATTTTCTCATTTTTCATGATCTTTTACACTAGCCGGGTGTACGAAAACCTCATTTCGCAGAAGCTGCTGCCAACTGACGCCGCGGAGGTCAACTTATTGTGCGCATCCGTCTTTAATTCCCAGGTCATGGTAAGTATGGGAAACCATCCTGCCGTGCACGTTGCATGGATCCTGGCTGCGCTGTCTGCATGCTGGACGACCACCAACCCACACCTTCAGGTGGACATCAAGATTGTTCTCCTCGTGGGTTTTTCCATGCATGCCTTTACACATCACTCCCAGATGCGTCTGAGGGAGAGACGCTTGGAATGGGAGGCGAGCTCAGACGCATTCGAAAGCGAGAGGCCAGGGCCCTGTTTCGTTTCCAGCTTGCAACGATTGGCAAACACTAAAAAACTGCTCAGCTCGACGCGTCGATTTTTCAGTTGTAGTTTGATTTGAGTTGGGGCTTGAGACGCGTCAAACCTGCAGGAGCACCAGCAAACGCAAAAGCTGGAGGCAGTTCGCCGGAGGGAGCAGATGGAGCGGACGGTGGCCCTCGTTTTCAACCAAGTCAAGGCTCCGTGCAAAAAGGGAACCCAGCAATTCAGTTTCAGCCCGCCACAACAGCCTGGTGTGAATATATTTTGTTGTTCCTTGGTGCGTCCAGAGTTCGCAACGCGTTTGCAAGGCGCCTTTGCTACTCGCCTTTGCTACGCGCCTTTGCTATTCGCTGAATTCGCACAGGATGCCTTCAGGTCGCCAGATGGCAAGTCTTTTTACTCCCTGCCAGGTTTTGATGGCCTATGTTGCAATGAGAATAAAGTTTCAGTCTGATTCACGCTTGCCTCCAAGGCTCCTGGAGACCTGTCAGATGATTCACCCAGGCAGAGCAATGCCGAGGGTTTCCTTCAATCAGGACGGGTGATGGGCTGCGCACACGCTTGCACAGGCACGCGCGCGCGTAAGTAGTTTCATTCTTGCCCAACTACGTGGGCGCGCCCTGACGCACGCTTCCCTAATGCTGCCGAAGCGCCCAATTCGCGGAGCACAGTGGAAGACGTGAAGCACGGTGGCACGCGCGGAACGCGGTGGTTGCGCGGGAAGCGTGTCGCCGCTCAGCCCCTGTTTCGGCGTGCATTCTCCATTCTGCGCGCGCGGCGGACCTTTTTTGAACGAAAAGTGCTTCAAGAACGGAGGTCTGCGTGACTCGGCAAAGTGCCGCGCCTGTGCATCAAAGGCGCCACCCGACCCATTCCCATACAAGTAACTGCGACCCGACCAGCCTGCTGGAAGGGTTCTGCTTGCTGCATCTTCTCTGTCTTCTCCAGCTCTTTTTGCCAGTCCTGCGGAAGCAGCCTCTGCCTTGCAAACTGCTCATCCTGGATCTGGACGCATGATGTGAGGACATGGGAATCAAATCCAAGAACTTCAGCAGTTGATGAGCTCGCCAAGTAAACAACTTGAGAAAGGCTGGCACCGTTCACCTCAAGCAAAGCCTCTTCCAGGCTCATTCGGGAAACCATCCATGCAGCCAAGGCATGCTTCATTGCTGAAATCCAGGTTTACCGTGGTCCACTTGGTGGCACCAGACTCTGTCCCTGGCCGCCCTGGCCATCAATCTCCCTATCCAAAGGTGAGTGACAGCTACATGATGCCAGCTTCCCACATCTCCTTGTTCTCTGGCTCCAGCTTCTGGCCAGTGGCAAAGGCCACCAGCGCTTGCTCCAGGTGCCCCAGCTGCCGCCAGCAGCAGCCCAGGCGAAAAAAGCCTCGGGCTTCACTTTTGGGCGCGACCGGAGAAGCGGCTGGAGCTCCTTACTCTTTCCAACCAACATGGAAGCTAGCACGAGGGTTTTAAAAGACCTTCCTTCTGCGGAAGCCCCCTGCCCACTTCCATCATTGTTGAAAGAGGGTGCCCCCCTGAGAAATCAAGCCATCCTGGACCTGTCTTGCACGGATCGAAGCTCATTGCAGGTGCCACTTCCTTTTTTTGCATTGCAGCCACTCAGATTGCCGAGGCGCCTTTGGGCCACTGGGGCCCCAGTTGGACGCTTCGCAGCGCATCCTGCAGCGCCTCCGAAGGAAGGCCCAGCAGCAGCCGCGCGGCGCAGCGGTTGGAGAACAGCGCTACGTCCGGGTCGGCTGAGACCTGGCGAAGCGAACCTTATACAAAAAGAATATGCCTAGGAACCACAAACCACCTGCTTTTCCAGAGGTCCCCTAGATCAGCTGGAGTGTGCGTGTGCGTGTGCGCGTGCGCGCGTGCGCTTGTGCGCGTGTGCGCGCGTGTGCGCGTGTGCGCGTGTGTGGGTGGGTAGGTGGGGGGGTGGGTGAGTGGGTGGGTGGGTGGGTGGGTGGGTGCGTGGGTGCGTGGGTGCGTGGGTGCGCAGGTGCGCAGGTGCGTGGGTGCGTGGAGTGCGTGGAGTGCGTGGGTGGGTGCGTGCGTGCGTGCGCGTGTGTGTGTATATTGTGTATTGTGTATATTGTGTATTGTGTATTGTGTGTATATGTGACACACCTTGGAACACAGTTTTTTTCACAACTGCGAAGATAGTGATGGCTTGATCCTGATATTCGGAAGGGACGCTCTCTGAGCGTACCTGCAAAAAATGATTGCTCGGCTTGCTTGTGTTCTGTGTTGCTTGATCTGTTGACGATCTCTGCTTCGAGCATCTTCCTCTTGAGAGAGTGTGTCCGAATGTCCTCACAAAAAAAAAAAAAAAAACAATTATTCAGCTTGAACATGATAGTGGCTTGCTTCTGCGAAAGTGTCTGTGTGTATGTGCGCATGTTGGCTGTTGCTACATGCCGCATGCCACATCAAGCGCAAACTACGAGAGCGCTGGAAAACGAAATGTAGGAAGCAAATTTAGTAACCCAAAATGAACGAGTAATGGCCAAGCAACATCACGCAACTTTACGGAAGGGATACCTGCATGAACTCCAATTCATATCTGCTCACGTTGCATGCGATCAGTTCTTCCCACTGTATACCCCGCATTTGTTGGCGTGTTGCTGTGAAACGTTCGGGCACGCGTCTGGCAAGCAGTTTGTCTTCAACAGAGCCGGGATGTGGACTGCACACGCCGACCAATCGAGCTGTCCAGCGTCGTGGCCGCACCCTGGAACTCCCCTTGCCTGGATGGCCTTGCTGTAGTGCTCCACAGCCTTAGCCAGAAAGATTCTCGCAGCCTTCTCTGTCTGCCAGTCTCAATGTGACCCGATTGGAGAGCTTCTTTCTTATCAGAATCCAAGGTGAATATTTGAGAACATCCTCTGAACGACGTGTCGGGCAGGCATCGAATTGCGTGTCCGATTTTTGCCGACTTCCGGAGAAATAGAAAAACAAACACTGCAGCACACAGGCCGCCTTAAATCGATGCATGTGTGCCAGCTACAAAGTCACTTTTACCAGCTGACTTTGACCGGATTCCGTTTGCATGTTTTGGATGTACCAGAAACCCTACGTGCCCGGCGCCAAGTTGCCTCGTTTGCCAAGGGGCGCCTTGGTAGTTCTTCTGCTTGAAGGCCTCGCTGCCCTTGGCCTTCTCCTCAGAAGCCACCTGACATTCACCCATCTGCCATGAACCTTGGGCCACCTCAAACGTGGCTGGCGGACAAGGGGTCCCGAAATAAAGTTCGCAGATTTTCACAGCCTGCTAACCCCTCGAGCTCCCCACATCAAAGGGGGCCACCAAAACGCATGTATGCATGAAAGGTATGCGCGTGTATTAGGTGCTGGTAGGTAGGTCAGCGAGGTAAGAAGGTAGCAGGAAAGAAGATAGGCAGGTAGGAAGGTAGGGAAGCGTCGTGTAGGCAGGCTAGCAACTCTGTAGGCTTGGCTTATCGGCTTGTAGATGTTATGCGCGTAAGTGCGCAGAGGTACGGGGATGTAAATGTGCAAATAGGTAAGTGAGCAGGCGGCAAACATGCAGTTTCGCACATGTATGACAACTTCTGTTTCGGCCCTCCAGCTTTCAATCAAGATACAAGTCTGTGTGAGTGCTTTGTTGAGGCCAACCTTTCACCTTGGGTTTAACTAACAGGGAAACAAACAGGAAAGCAACTGCTTTGCTATTTTCCGCTCCCTTGACACACGCGAACGCACTCACAAAGTGATTGGTTTGCTTTGAATCACCTCAATTTCAGTTTCCAACAAAGAAAAAAACACTTTTGAGGGGACACAAGACGGAGAACCACCACTCTGGGGTTCCCCTATTTTGAGTCAAGCCCGGTCATTGAGCACCTGCTGCCAGCCCTCCTCCGGGGCATCCGTCCACTCCTTCGGCAATGATGGCTCCACGCCCTGCGGAGGCGCCTGGCCGACTGGCGCAAAGTGAGCTTTGTCCATCCACAGTTCTAGTGCTACCTTTTCCATTCTTTCCAGGGATCCTTCTTTCTAGAAAACCTCCGGAAACTTAGAAAGAATGGGGAATCAACCCTTAGAAGAGCAGCACCTGTGGGAAGGTGCGCGGAGAACAAAACATCTCCGGTGTGCCATGGCAGCGTGGATGATAAGCTCGTTTCACCGCAGAACCAGTCAGCTGGAAAGCTACAAAAGAGGCACCGAATATGTGCCCGCCAAGCCCGCCTGAACGCCAAGAAGCTTCAAGCCACTCATCAGCCTCTGCAGCTGATGCACGACAGTGTCCTCCGACATCTCAACCAGTGGCTTCGCTTCCTGTGCCGCGCAGTACTGCTTCAACTGCTCCTGGGTCTGGAAAGATCAGTGGGTGTTCAAGGTAAGGGACGAAGCGTGTTGTTTCAAAAATTTGCTCACACTACTTGAGCCTTTGTAGCCGGTGAGCATGGTACACAAGGTCGGGAATTCAACAAGCCCTCGTCCACGCTGTTAAGACTCTTCTCGGCTGCTTCTTCTCGACGTCCCTCCAGGCTGTTCAATGACAAGAGTTGGCCAATCCTAATCCATATTCCCCACTGTTGACTGTAGGAATCCCTAGAAGGTAACCACAAAGGGGACTCGTCCCAAACCAAAGCTGCCCAAGCTGCTGTTTTGGAAGCTACGGCATTCGCTTCTTCTGCGGCACCCTCTTCTTGAGGCTCTTGCTGGAGCTCCTCAGGCATTCGATCTCTGGAAAACAAAACACCTGTCAACATCCGTCCGCGTAGTGTCCCAAACAAGGAAAGACACCTGAACAACTTTTAGGCGCAGCCCCAAACATGCTTTAGAATTGATGGGGCGTCCTAGCGACATTGGATTTGACCTTTGATTTAGCATTACTGGGTTTGAGTTTCCGTTTTATGCAGCATCGCTGGCTTCAAGTGTTCATTTGCTTAAATGTATTGCTGGGTGTGAGTTTGTGAGTCTGAAATTATATTCGATTCAGCATTGCTGCATTTTGAGTTTCCGTTCGATTATTGAGCAAAGTCTGCATTTGACTTTGTATTGCCGGTCTAGGTTCCTGGTGATTCGGTGTTCCTGGGTTTAAGTTTCCAATTGATTCAGTATTGCTGGGTCTGACCTTCCGTTTGACTGCGTATTGGTTTGCTATTGCTGAGTCTGAGTCTGAGTTTGCAATTGACTTGGTTCCTGGGTCTGAGCTTCCAATCGATTGAGTGTTGATTCAGTATTGCTGGATCTGAGTTTCCATTTGACTTGCTACTGCTGGATTTGAGTGCATTGGATTTAGTTGCTGGGTTCGAGTTACCTAGTATTGCTGGGTCTGAGGTTGGCTTTATGTTTGATTTAGTATTGATGGACTTGAGTCTTGAGTTCCAATTGATTCAGCATCAGTATTGCTGGATCGGAGATCCCATTCAATTCTGCTTCAGCTTTTGGTACTCATTTGATTCAGTGCGGCTAAGTTCCCCTTTGATTCAGTATTGCTGGATCTGAGTTTCCACTTGATGTGGCATTGCTGGATCCAAGTGATTTAGATTTGCTGGGTCTGAGCTTCCATTTGATTCGTATTGCTGGGTTTAAGCTTGCGTTTGATTTGGTATGGCTGTGTGTCAATTTGATTTCGTATCGCTGGTTCCGAGCTTCCGCATGATTCAGTATTGCTCGGTCTGAGTTTCCAATTGAAATGATTGTCCTGGGTCTGAGCTTCCATTTCATTTAGTATCGCTGGGTCTGAGTTTCTGGGCCTGCTTGCATTTGACTTGGTATCCGGTTTGAGTTTCCATTTGGTTCAATTTGAGCTTCCAATTGATTTAGTATTGCAAGCCCAGGAAGGGGGAAAAAGTATTCATTACGGGTCTCCGATTCATCTGTGCCTTTGCGACTGTTACAAAAGCACTGTTGTAATGTTGGAGCTGCCCTGGCTTGAACGTGGGCTTTCAAAGACAAGTCTTGATGCCCTCATCAATGGCCTTGTTACATTGATGCTTTGCGTTTTCCTGTAACGTGTGTCAAAGGCCTGTCAAGCTTTCGATCTTTGGAGACATTCGGTGCATTGATCGAACTCTTCGGCCTGGAAGCGCCTAAGGAAGGACGCCGTTGAGAACTGCAAAGCGTCCAAGGCATCCACGGCTTCGCGGAGGGGCAAATGGCCGTGCTCCCGGCGGATGATATCCGTGCGGTCCGGCGAGCGCACGTCCTCCACCCGGGGGGAGGCCCGCTGAACCAAACGTCGAAGGTCAGGCAACGACATGGCGGCCCGGGATCGGCAGAGGGATCGGTGCGTGGGGGAATTTCTGGCAAAAACCAGGACAGGTGTCAGGCCTAGTGGTGGCCTCTGCAAAAACAATCAAGTTGAATATGGGCTATTGGAATATTCCTCCCGCCACCTGGCAAGCGATATCGGGGGCGGGGATAAATGCAAACTGTCATGGCTCATGCCCATCTCTGAGTCCAAACTCCGGCGGCGTCACATCACCAATCAAACTGCCTTGGGCTTTTCCACATGAACTTGCCACAGGTTTGGTGCGAGTCGAATACGCCATTGCAGTGCAGTTGCACGAAAGAGCCATGGATTCAGCGAAGCAACAATATTAATTAATATGAACGCAACTCATGCTCCAACATTCTGCTCGGCGTGTGCCAAGAGAAGCAGCTGTTGTTGATTGTGGGGTTCAGCATGGGGTTGCATACTGGCCATTGCTGATATGATTGCAGTGACGCGCATGGCACCCAAAGTAAAGCATGGACTCATGGGCCAACGTCGCCGCATGCTCCTCTGTACATGGCCACCTCATCGTCCAAGGTTTCCCTTGGAAAGGCCACAAAGGGCATCCCCTGTTTTCCACACCAGGGGCCAACAACGTGAGATGGGCTCACGGCTCACGGCCCCACAGCGCCCGCTAGGCATAGATGGGGCACCCAACGGCTGCCACCACCGATCCAGGAGCACCCCAGCCACGCGCGAAGACCCCGGGGTCATTGAAGCGTCGCCCACGCCTGCATCCCAAGCCAACTCCTTTTCGGGTAACAAACATAAGCCCAGTATAGCGCTGGGCAAACTCGCCGTACAATGCTTTACTCTAGGCATCTTGTGCGTGTTGGGTTTGCCTGCTTAATATAATTGCATGTTCTGACATGTTCTGCAGCTAGTCCCTCGAACCATGTTGGTCAAGCTACACTCTGATTCAAACCTACGGCAGCTGCAACTTTGTCGCATTTCAATCTCGGCAAGCACTACATATGGGTGTGATTTAAATGTCTTCTGGGCGGTCCCAGAAATGTCCAACAAGGTCCGCAAACATGCACATACACATTCGTGCCCAGGAACTCCAACTTCCGCACTTGTTGCATCTCCTCAGCAGAGAGCTCAAAGCCGAAGACATCCAGATTCTCCTTTAGTCTCTCCACACTCCTCGGGACACTTGTCAACCAAGTGTTGTTCTCTCTTCTGACTTTAGCGACTAACCACCAACGCACACACACACACACATTGAATTCACAAGCACCGCGCGTGTTACACCGAACGGGTTCCGGCCATGATCTGGGGATCTGGGGAGCAGAAGATTGCCAGCCATACTTGCGGACCCTGGATAAGAGAAAGGACATGCGCTGGTAAGCAAACAAAGCAACATGTCGCCAGTCGCGGCCACTCCGTCAGTCAACAACCTTCAGCAATAGGTCCGACGCGGCTGCTGTTCTCATGGGCTCGGAGATGCACAGACAAAGAAGACAATTATGGACGTTTCACTGCAGCTTCCATAGCATTTCCAGATGTTGCACAGCCAACGCATCTCTCACAAAACATCTCTGCGTGCAACTTTGACGATGCATCCTGTCTGTCATTGCCGCTGCAGCTCTTGCCGCGTGGATCCAAAACTGAATGCGACAAGGAAGTGTGTTCAGCTCTTCTGTGTTTAGCCCGCAAAGCAAACAAGAACATCAAACCAACTAATGTTCCTCACACCGCAACTCATCCGACGTCTGCACCGCGCTTCGAACATCTTCAGCACATGTCATAATGTCTTGCAGCTCGTATATTTCTAGCAAGCTCTTTGGCAAACTCTGCAAGCCTTGCAATGATGACAAGTCCCCGAAAACAACGAATGAATTCCAACACAGAAAGAACATGTTGAATGTTGGTTCTTTGCCGGGTCATCACCTGTGCCCCCTCTGAACCGCTCGAAGGCCTCTTCCCCAAAGTGGCTTTCCACGAATGCTAACTGATCCGATGGCATCGGACCATGCCTGAGGGACACATTCGCAACAGGGAACCCTTCTTGGGGTTGACCTTTTTTGGAGGGTCCGGAGATGGTCCGGAGATAAGCAAGGGACTCGAAGGCTGAAAGCCGGCCTTGCGTGCAAGCGTCTGGCTCTTAGGCACCACCGAGCAACCGCGCTGCACCAGGAACCTGAGAATGATCTGACCTCGAAGCGTGAACGGGAGACCCCAAACCGTCCAATGTTCCGTCACAGGGCTCCTTAAACGATGCGTCCAAAACCAACCTGATGAAAACACAGCTGGCAAACCTGCCCTTTAAACTAGCTGGCAAACTTGGCCTTTAGTCCAAATGCATCCTTCAAGAGCCCATAGTCGGATGCCATTACTAGGGGGATCTGCTTCTCAAAAATATTTCAGCATGCCAAGCAAAGGACATTCAGGACCTCAGAGTCAAGCTGATCCGAGAGTTGCACACTGTCCTACGGGTGCCGGTTTCCTGATGCTCGATATGCTGACTCAGGATCTTGCTCAAATCGGTCCAAGGTACCATGTTTTCAGCTCCTGGGGAGGCAGCACAAGCAACAGCTGAGCTGAGCAAGGACATCAAAACAGGGAATTGCCTGCTTCTGTGATGCATATATTAAAAGGCTTGAAGGTTGCCAACAGGTTCCTTTGCATCAAGCCGGAACCTTCTCACAACCCTGAAACCAAAGTAACGTGAACAAACGGCCAACAATGGCCAATAGCCATGGTCAAAACGAAGCACATTCATTGTGGCATGTTCATGTTTTGTGTGCCAACCCCCTCCTCTTTGGGTGCATGTTTAGGGCTTAGGGTTTTCCGCCGCCAATGGTGTGGGAACCAATCCGGCGCATCTGGACAACTGTCTGGATTCATTGAAGTCGCATCCGCAACATCGATTCTGCAAAAAGGAAGCCATCCCGAAAGCTGTTGCTTCCCTTGCGAGGGCTTCTCACAATGAGAAGCCCTCACAAGCAGCATAGCTTCCCTTTCTAGAATTGGTAGCAACCTTTGCGCTTCTAGGGTATCAGAACCACAAGCGCTATTTAATTGGGGAACCTATTTGGAGTCCAACTTGGTCCAGGTGCCCACAGACTTCTGGTGCTTCGCGGCCAGACCTTGCAGCAGGACCTCGTGAAAGCAGTCCTCCTCCGGCGCCGCCAGGCCGATGGACACGTAACTCTTCCTGAAAACCGGACAGCTGGAGTCCCGTTGGCCGCGGGAACTTTCTGAGGTTTTTTTTTTGGGGGGGGGGGAAAGGGGATTGTTTGGCAGTTTGTAGGATATGTTTGGGCCAGCTCACACCAAATACCTGATTTCGAGGATCCAAACCCTGGCGGCCCGGGCAAGTGGTTGTATGTATCCTTGATTGAGCCCTGTCCAAAGCTTGGGGAAGAATCTGCCTGCAAAGCATGCCAAAGGAAACCGAGTTCAAGGTACAAAAGACACATGGACCCGGAAAAAAATCAGACACCTTCATAAAGATTGGGTCACAGGAGAAGTTTGCAAGGCATCCAATCCAACATCTCCTGACCTGGCTTGCCGAATGTAGCTGGCATGTCACATGCATCCATACCTTGAAGGTCGAATGCCAGCCAGAGTCTTTAATACGTCGTTTTTGCTCAGGAGCTTTCATAAAAAAAAAAGTCTCTCCTGTGCGGAGCGTTGCTTAGTGTAGCATCGCCCACAAAAAGGTACCTCCTTGACACTGGACTGGGCTTGTTCTTGTCTGGCTCTTATTCAAAGTTGCTACCAAGCTCAAGCTGCAGGTACCTGGCAGCGATGTTACAAGGCACAATGAAAGGTGCCTGAAAGTTGCGAGCTGCAGCTCTCAAAATGGCATGCCCCGTCAGAGTTTTGCGCAGCCAAGTCTGTCTGCACACCCGTAGCACTGCCTTCGCTTTCTCATCAACATCGTTCAAAACGCGCGCGCGCGCATGAGGGTCGATCCATTTAGCAGCTTTGCGCATGCTTGCGCCAGACTGATTGCTTGGAGCTAGCGGAAAGTGAGCCATGTGCATTTTTCACACTCTCCCCAGTCAAAAAGGTACTGCCGTTTTGGACTGCCCTTTCTGATTGCAACTTTCTGAATGGAATGCCGGACCTCTTGTCGCTCGGCAACCAGGTGCGTGGCGCAATTGCTGTTTGGACTTGATTGGGATACTGCCTTGCATCAAGGAGACACACTACTTGCATGTTCGCGACGCAACAGCCATGGGGTGGAATGCCGAAGCGACTCCTGCAAAGCGAAGTCCTGCTGTACTTACACCGCGCACAAACAACACTCACACACCACACAATCTACATGTTGAGTCAGCCTTGCTTAGTGTGTGTGTGTGTGTGTTTGACTTGTTCCGCACTGCACCTTTTTTTGCTGTCAGCGGGCAAAGCATGCCTGCGACGGACCACCGTCTCCAGAAAGGAGCCGGAGCAAACGAATCGCAAACTGAATGCTTTGTTGATCCGGGCCGAAGAGTTTCTTTCGATGGGACAATCTTTCCGATCTCCCAGTGTGAAAAGATATCGCTGGCCACCGAGGAACGCCAGCAAACACGTGGAAAGTGACCCCATGGTCGCAAATGGCCCCCCGTCGTTTTCCGTGGAAGCTCTGCCATCTCTGCCCCTGTGCCAGGACTCGCGCCGAAGGGTGAGAAGCAGGTGACCCCAATGCCCTGCTGGATGCAGAATTGGACTAGGTCTGGCTGCTGCAAGTAGACGTGGCTCTCAATCTGGTTGACAGCTGGCCGCGTGGCGCCGGCGATTGGCATATGATTTCATGGCGCAAACCCAAACACAACTCCCAACATTTTTGTACAAACATCCAAGCAAGAAAACAGCCGGCATTGGCCTCCGAACATGATCAAGAATGGGGGCCGGGCATATCTGGGCGCTAAATGAACCACGTCAGCTTTGTCCTTCCGAATGCCTTGACCCATTGGCTATTCCTCAGAATCAACCCAGCGCCTGGCTTCACCCTACAGTAGGAGAGCACATCCATGAGGCTCTGCACTGTTAGGTTGCTGACCCCGATGTGCTTGGCTTTCCCCAAGTCCTCACTCGCAACATCTTCAAGCATGGACAGCAAAGCGATTCCATGAAAGCCGCGGATCAGGACCAGTAAAGAGGAGGGTAAACGTCTATGTCGGAAGCAAGGCGTAAGAGATCTCTCGGGTCAGTGGAGTCCATGTTGACTGCGCGCTATGGAGCTGAGCTCTTACCTCTCAAATCCGCATAAGACTCTGTGTTGCTCATCATGGTGAACCATGCAGAAAAAACGCAATTGGTCTCTTTGGGGCCTGCATTTTGGGTGCCCACAAATCCAGGTGTGCAAAAACCCGCATTTGTTGGCATGTCTGGTTGCTTCAGGATTCAAGGATGGCAGGTGCTGCATCCCCAGCAGCTCAGCATCATCGAGGTCAGTCTGAGTCTAAAGAGTTTGAATTTTGCGCATGTGCGGCTGTTTCAGAAGGTGTTGGGCATTTTGGGCTCTGAGAGCGTCTACAGGCAAACAGCTCCCTGAATCTGCACATGTGCGCTTTGCTCGAGGCATGTTGCTCCAAACAGTTTTTTCCAGGATACACACAAAACACATGTGGTAGGTGTAGAACCCCCTTGAAACAGCAGGCAAAGGTGGCAAAACTAAATCCTTTCAGGAACCGTGTTTTCTGAAAAGTGCGAAAGGCCAGTGTGTTTGGTTGCAGGCCTGCATCCTCACCATCCCCGCGCTGGTAGGTGATGCTGGTAGTGCTGGTTTTGACTACTCTCAGGGTCGAAATCTAGGGGGTGCAAACCCTGCATTTGTCCTTTGGTGTTTGTCTTTGCTGCAAATGTGTGCCAATGCTAAAAGAAAGCTTGGAGCATAGGATCTCTTGGGTTGAGCGTCTAGGGGGCTGCGAATCACTCCACAGATTGCATTCAGCTTGCTACGCCAGCTGCTGACGCTCTGTGCATATGTGACCGTAACATCGTCATGGTTTGCCAGTGACTGGACGTCGCGACACATGCCGCTTGTTGGTCATGAAACCTCACGTTAGTGCTTGGTCATACTCACACGTGCTCATCCGCTCAGCCGTGCTCGGCCGTGCTCAGCCAGCGTTTGACAGACCAATCGGTCACGCAACCTCGCAGTTTGTGCTTAAGCGTTGTCGGACACATTTCCTTGAATGCGGAACCTCAAAATGGGCATCGTTTTGCTCGAGACATTGAGGGATACTGCGAGGATTCTGTGCTGTTGAGCAGATTGCAGGCGCGTACCTGTGAGGAGTCCGACGTGGAGTGCAGCTTTTTTCAGCCGAATCCAGGAGCCACCATGAACAATGCAGGTCTTGAGAGATTAAGTTGTTGTTGAAAGGGTGGGAACATGTGCAATGCTGGCCCTGGCTCATTCCTGAAACGGCCTTTTTCCAGTTGCTGAAGGAAGCTTGAAGCCGAAAATCATTCGGAGACTTTGCATCTGAGGGTCTGAGCCGCTGGAGTTGCAAATTGGCCCTGAACAAGTCACAGCCAGGCTAGACACATGTCGTGCTATCCTTTAGTCAGAATAGTGAGATACAAACATATCAGTATGTCAATCATAAACCCCAACCCCCCAAAAGTCGATGGCCGGGAACCGATCTCTTCCCAGGCGAACGGAGTCCTGAAGCGCCTCCATGGCCTCCCAGGTCTCCCCTGAGTCGAATCTGCCCAGTCTGGGTCAGTGACATCCTATGAAGCCCAGGGATCCCACTCTTAAACTTGCATTGCTTCACATCGCTTCATCAAACCGGAATGACATTGCCAACATGTCCAAAACGCAGTGCTGCCCAAGATTCTTTCCGAAAAAATCGATGACGCAAATTGGCACACTAGTGAACTCGATGCAAAACAATTGTGATCTCATCTAGTTCATTCCCCCTATGAACAAATGCCATGGCTAAGATTCCAAATCTCTGATACTATCAACTAGAATTAGCCAATGCGCACCCAATTCCAAACGAGCAACTTCCCGTCGACCAAACTCCAGTCTGAGGGGACATTTTGGAACCAATACTAAGCCATTTCAAACCAATTCGAACCCAACAAAAAGATTGGCTCCCATGTCCTTAGACCCTTTTCCAGGGCACGGTAGGGCACTGGATCCAGAACCAGGTGCCCAGCATTGCCACGTTTGTCCGTCCACTCGGGGGGGTAGCGCTCCTCGAAGGGAACGAAGGCCAGCGAGATGGGGAAGTGGATCAGGTACAAGTCCAGGTAATCCTTGAACCCAGCAACCAGAAGCGAGTCAGTTTGCAACACACCATGCGATTGATTCGTGGATGTTGAACATCCGGACACAAGTCAAGCGGAAAAGCACGCCTGAGAAACCCCCAAGTCACATAGCCACATTGCAGTTGCACTAGCGACCTCATGTCAGCTAGCGCAAAAGGCAGAACCAATGTACTCATCGTGGCTTTGATTGAGTGGGCTGTTTGGGCATCTCCTGAAAGGAATCCACCTGGGGTGGTCCCCATACAACAAAAGCAAGAGATCAGGACTTCTGCCAGTCATGCTACCGACACATTGAATGCGTGAAGCAAGTCATCAGGTACTTTGCTGAGGTTCTGGGTTCTGCCAAGACTCCAGCCCCAAATCATCGAGCGTGCGCTGGCATGCCATTGGCACATGCCTCAGAATGTCACGGACCCCCAGTTGATCGATAGGGGCTGGGCGGCCCATCCTATATGGAACCCTTCACTTTGTTGGGGACTGGTTGGAAACACCGGAAACACCCCCCGTACATCTGCCAGGGTGCTTGATCTGGATAAACACTAAAGAGGCCCTGCTCATTTTCAAGCAAGTCAGCAATTCAGGCAAAACTGAGGGAGACATGTACCATGCCCCTTTGGAGTGTACTGTGTGTACTGAAAAAAACCGCCGTGCAAACTACTTGTCGTACCAAGTTGCATCCAATATCAATACGGAGCAAACGATGTGGGGGAGTTGGAAACACAAATAGCGACTGATGGAATGGATAAAAATGGCAAAGCCAACAAATGTGCAAGCAACAAAAAGGCCAGCCATGCGATTCCTGCAATCTATGGCTCTCTTCGTCACTTCGCGCATGAGAGCAACGGGGGATTGCCCCAACTACAATCAATCAAGAGCAAAGTCTAGAACGTGTGAAACATGTGCGTATTGGAATCCATTTAAGAGCGAGCAAGTTGCTTCCTAAACTCAATAATTTGATTGTACTAAGGGAGATAGGTCGAAAATGGCGGGAGTCCCTATACACTGGCATATGTTTGTTCAATTCGAATAGTCTGATTTCAAGAACTCACTTCCCCCGAAGAAGGCTCCCATCATTCTACGGCCCTGGCGGATTCCACTTCCGCAATTTGCCCAAATGCCCACCAGCCATGACTAATCTCCTTCCCTCTAATTTGGTGGATTGATGGTGTGGGGGTTAGGGATGTTTCCCCAAACCACAATCCAATCCACCAATTAAGGGTTGCCCGCTAGTTGATCTTGTTATTTTGTGTGATTCGGGCACGAGCCTGTGCCCAGGCAATGGGTAAGTTGGGGTAAACAAGCCACAAAAGAAAGGTTCCCCAAAAGCAAACCAATCCCCGGTCCCAAAGATCAGGGTTTCCCACACACCAGAGAACAACAACCAAAAGGGAAACAAACCAAACAAGAAAAGGGTTAACCCGCAACCTTGATCGACAACAGGCCGCACGACTGGTCCCTACCAACCTGGCGGCGGCCCGAGGTCTCTTTCTCCCCCGAGATGCCGTCGGTCGACGCAGGGGTTCGGCGACGCCCATTCGAGGCGCGACGGAACCCAAAACTTGAGCCAAACATCACAGGTCAGTCACTACCGCGACATCCCTGATGATGAAATGACATGGCTAATCACACCCCCCTCACGAGGAGCCCGTCATATGACGGGTGGAGCGTGCCATTTACTGATAGGATTTAACTGCTCGCATGCGTCCGCAAACAGCTGGACACTACCGCCGTCAGCGGTGGAGCAAACCCACAAAGGCAGTTGCGCGACATCCCGGGCATTAAATTCCCGCCACCACCCCGAATTAATCGGGGTAACGCTGTCCAACACACCTTGTGGAAGAGTCCACGTGACGACACTAGGCCACAACTGTTTGCATCAGCAATGCAAGAAGTTTAATTCTTATCAGAAGCCATGAAATAAAAGATAACGTATGTCCAATAGTACCCTCGCCTATCGGCAAGAGGTACTCCTGACCATGCGTACCTGAAAAATGCTTGAATTCCGCAAACCCGGGAGTAACCCCCCATTAGCTTGCTTTCCCTCTCACTCACACTGCTTCCTGATGAACACGACCAGCAGCCCAGCAGCGGTACGGGAGAGACATGATCTCCGCGCCTCAGCGGTTCGGGAGGAGCATCACCATCTCCACACCGCGCCAACCATCGGAGAACGGACGCAAGCCTATCGGCCGCAATCCTCGTGACCCAGCCTATCGGCTATCGTCACGTCTCCTCCGGTCACGTCCGCCCCGCGCACGGTCTCTATCACGATCCCTCTCGGATCTCCTGCGATCATCTCGCCTTCGATCCCGCTCCCGATCGAGTGAGTCATCATCATGACGATCTCGAGCATCGTCCCTCCTCCGGTCACGATCATCCTCGCGCCGCGGACGGTATCTGCGCCTTCTCGATTCTCGGGAATCCCTGGAGTCCACGGTCCTAACGGACCTCCGAGATGGAGTGCGGGAGACGTCCGAGTCCCTGCGTCTCCTCCCAGAACGAGAGTTCGTCACGATCTGATTGAGAGCCTCCAGTGCTGAAGCTTCTTCACCATTTGTGATGAACTCCCTGACCTGCCTGTTCAGCACTCTATTGGTAGAAACCGACAGGAGAGCGTCCACCACCGAACTCTCAGGCAGCGCTAGAAAGTGACCTTCTACCGGACTCGCCGCAATTCGTTCAGCCGACTGCAACCTGACCTCCCCACTTTCAGGCTTCTTTGCCATTGCCTTGGAGGCCGTCAGAGGTGCTACCGCGTCCTTTGCCGAAGACCTACCAAGTGCAGAGTGAAGATCATCCGCACTAGCCTCTCTTGCTGCCGCACCTGGTCTGCTGTCAACGTCATCAGGCCTTGTCGATGCCTCCCGCTTCGTCGACTCCTTCACAGTCTCGTCAGGATCCCAACGGGACTTCCTTTCTCTCTTCTGCCCTTCAGCTGAGCCTCGACTACCGCCGGGAGCATCAGCACCGCCTACCTTCTCCTTCTTGACTTCAACTTTCGGGTCGGCCTGCTTCGTCCCCTTAGGCTCAGCCTTCGGGGCTGAAGCACTCTTCGCCTCAGTCACTGAGGCAGCCCTTCCCTTCGGCTCAGCCTTTGGGACCGGAGTCATCTTTGCCTTTGCACTTGGCCGGGCTCCTTCAACCGCTATCGCGACCCAAGTCTTCTTTGGTTGAGCCACAGGGGTATCAACCTCCATCGGAGCCGGCCCTGCATCAGCTTTCGCTTTTGCCTGTGGGACAGAAGGACTATCGCCCTTACCAGACCCTTTCTCTGGCGCTTCACCTGACTTTGGTGGTGGGCCGGAAGGACTACCGCCCTTACCGCCCTTCTCTCCTTTCTTTCCTTTTCCTTTCCCGCCCTTGACGATCGGCTCCTGCTTCGGACCAGGACCCTGCGCAGCATGATGCACCGACTGGAGCTCTTCAACGTTCACATCCAGCGGCTCCGGCTGACGACCATCAAGAATCGTCCTCACCCTTTCGTCACTAACGTAGACGAACGGATCACGGAAGGGAGCAGGAGGCTCTGATTGCCCAGCACTGATTGCCTTCTGCACTTTGGCTACCGCCTCCCTCAATCTCTTTTTCTCGTCGTATCCTGTTGCCGAGACCATGTAGTTCCTGAGATCCGTCATCAAGACGTGGCTAGCCAGTATGTCTGCATCCTTCCTGTGGGTCGGATACAAAGGAGTCAGATGACCAGCCGCAGCACCAATCACGTACGCCATTGGGATATAGAAAGACAGATAAGTGTCGTGGCGGGCGAACTTCCTAACGGAAGTCGTCATACGCCTACCCCATTGGGCCGCATGAATCGGATTTGCCCGGAAATACTCAGTGACCGAATCAAATCTATCGACTTGATTGGTCTTGATGAGGTGCTTCGCCACCCACTTCTCCACGAACGCGTCCGAGGCCGAAATCCCAGACACATAGGAGAACTGAAATAGCACCTTCGCCAGCTCATCCCACGCCGCATCAACTCCTCCCTTGTCCTCACCAAGATAAGGGGGCAGTCTGATGCCGCTCTGCACCGTCATCCTCAGGTCAGACGCCATCGAATAGGAAATCAAATTCCTCTTGATAACTCCGACCACCTCGGTTGGGATCCTCTTGGGCTTAAATTGCCTCATACTCTTCACCCAGTCCGGGATGATGCCACACCGGTCGAAGTCATCTTCGTCCGCGTTGGGGATGAAGTTCGGGTAGAACACCGGGAGTGCGCGCCCGGGGCACAAATGCATCCCATTAGGCGTCATCTCCGCGCACCTCAAACAGAAGGTGGTAGTCACGTTCAACCTGACTTCCTCACGTGACCGCTTGTGCTCCCCCCTATCGGGGGTGAGGTCACCATAGTCCCAGGCACGATGGTACACTATCGTGTAATCATCGAACATGTACGCAGCCTTCCACGCACTCATGTGGATCTCATTTCGAACAGCAAGGGTCTTTCTCCTTGTCAGAAACACAGGTCCAACCAACGACCGGTGCACCCGAAGGTCCGCCATGACCACCACGTACCTACCTGAGTAGTTCCGCAGCCTGTCCCTAACGTACCACGACGGCGACACCTCGGCATTCGGCGCCATAGTCTCCACAATTGGAATCAGGCCCTCATCCAGCCTTCCATCCCCAATGGTCTCGTACGCATCGGGCCTCGTGATCAATATCTCGATCATGGCCTTCCCGTTGCGCCTCATCTTCTGGAGTTGGACTGCCTTCCTGAAGTCTAAGAACTTCATGATGACGTACCCCACCATAGGGAGTTCATTCCAGTGCATCTCGTACATCAGAGATCCGCCAGGTGCATCCTCCTGAGTGTATCTTTGCCTAACGGCGCTGAAACTCATGTCTCGACCGATCCGCGTGTACCTAACGGCCACCAATCTAGTGCACTCCCTGAGGAGGACACCATTCCCATCATACATGATCATGAGCATTGCCTCAACCTGCCCTACCGGGAAAGCTTTGATCGTCGGGATAAAGAACTTCCATGACATCTCGGCGTTCTCCATACCCGTTACCTCTCTCAGGAACCAGATGGCCTGGTCACTACTCACCCAGTTTCCAGTCTCTCGTCCAGTTTCCTTCAGTACGTTCTCCTCGAATAACTCCGAGACTCTTTTCGAGTTGATCATCAAACCTTCAACGTCACACGAGAGCAGCTTCATCAACTCCTGAGCCGCCTCTCGTCCTGCGACAGTGCTCGCGGTCTCCTCGTAGTTCGGAACGTACTCGCTCAATCTCGTCTTCGATGGGACCACGATCTGGCAAGTGACAGCCTCATCAGGCACGACCCCAGTTTCCCGCAATTCTGGATTGATCTCCTGCCTATCGGCGAGGTAGTCCTTCCTTCCATCCAGGATCACGAGGTTGTACGTCATCTTGCTTGCCGCC